CTAGTGGTGGATGTTTACAGCTCCTGAAGCCCCACTGGGCTTGTGCTACCGTATGCTCTTAGTTTTGCTGTCTATAGGTGGCTTGGGTTAACCAGCTCAATTAGACCCTCTACCTTGTTGCAAGGACAGAGGGCTTTCTGTATCCCGGGTTCTTGCCTTGGTATACCAGAAGAATTGGATCATACCTGGGCTTGGAGAATGAGTGCAAGGTTTTATTGAGTGGAGGTATTTCTCAGCAGGTGGGGGAAGCCAGAAGGGGATGGAGTGAGAAGGTTTTCCCCTGGAGTTGGCCCAGACTCCCCTCCGACTGCTCCAGCCAAACTCCGCATCGTTCTGCTGGTTGGTGGCCTGTGGCGTGCTGGTGTGCCGCTGCCTGTTGGTGCATTCCTCTGACGTCCAGCTGCTTGTGTGTTCCTCTACTGATGTGCTCCTCTAGCTGTCCAGCTCCCTGTGTGTCTGCCTGCTAGGATTTTTATAGGCACGGGATGGGGATGTGGCAGGCCAGGGTGGTCTTGGGAAATGCAACATTTGGGCAGGAAAACAAAAATGCCTGTCCTCACCTAGGTCCATGGGCACAGGCTGGGATGGAGCCCTAGCCAGGGACCACGCTCTTTCTCCCTTCCATGTCATTTAAAGGGACTGTGCCCTTCCCTTCCCAGCACTTCCCTTCCTGTATTACCAGGTTCAAGCAGTTCTCCTGCCTCAGTCTCCTGAGTAGCTGGTACTACAGGTGCATGCCACCACACCTGGCTAATTTTTTTTGTATTTTTAGTAGAGACAGGATTTCACTATGTTGGCCAGGTTGGTCTTGAACTCCTGACCTCAAGCAATCCACTCGCCTCAGCCTCCCAAAGTGCTAGGATTATAGGTGTAAACCATTGCACCGGCCCCTTAGCTTGGTCTTGTAGCACTCTATACTCCAAAATTCTTTCTGGTTGCTGTTTGTCAGCCGTAACTGGAGTTGCCATAAAGGGATGTAATGGGCAATCTGGCTGAGAGTAAGGTTGGAAAGGGATCGGGCCAGGCTGAGTTCCAAGGGCACGAGGGATTCCCAGAGGATGTGACATGGGAATAAAATGGTCAGCGTGCTAGACTGACATCTTAGAAAGATCATTTGCTCCTTAATCTGCCCCCATCACTTTCTTCTAAAAGGCCCTTGTTGATAACCTCCACACTACTCAATCCTAGGGCACTCTTCAGTTCTGATCTCAACTGACATTTTTTTTTTTTTTTGAGATGGACTCTCACTCTGTCGCCCAGGCTGGAGTGCAGTGGCCGGATCTTGGCTCACTGCAAGCTCCGCCTCCTGGGTTCACACCATTCTCCTGCCTCAGCCTCCCGAGTAGCTGGGACTATAGGCGCCCGCCACCACGCCCGGCTAATTTTTTGTATTTTTTGTAGAGACGGGGTTTCACCGTGTTAGCCAGGATGGTCTCGAACTCCTGACCTCGTGATCCACCCGCCTCGGCCAACCAAAGTGCTGGGATTACAAGCATGAGCCACTGCGCTTGGCCTCAGTTGACATTTCTTCGAGCCGATTTTACTTGATCTCTTGCAGCCCTCGACACAGTTGTTAACCCCTCCCACCTGAAATGTCCTCCCTTGGTTTATGTGTCTCTGCACGTTCTTGTTTTCCTTCTCCCTTTCTGGCTGTCCCTTACTAGTTTTTCACCATCTCCATTTCCATCAGGGAAAACTGTGTGTCAGAGTTGCTCGAGGCACAATCTTAGTTGGTATAATCCTTCCTTCTGCTTTCTCTCTTGACCCATTAGGAGAGTGTGAAATCAGTTTAACGCGTCATATAAGCATTGACAAAATGATGAAGCAACAGAATAGAAAGTGTCAAAGTGCATCGTGCACAGGGTAAATATTGTTTGAGGAAGCTTATTTCAGATTTAGATATAAATACACACATGCATATGTATGATGGCTGCAATGTAAAATAGTATCTTACTGTGGGATGTGGTGAAACAGTTTGAAAGCCATGGCTGTACAACTCCTCTGTTTATTTCTCAGGGCCAGAATTCTCCTAGGAATGTAAGATCTGTGTGTGTCCAACCGCCTACTCCACATCTCCTCTTAGATACCCTCTATGGAGACATTAAACCCAATATATCCAAAATCAAATTCAAGCCCTTCACCCTAAACTTGGATTTTCTCCTCTGTTTCGCATCTCAGGGAAAAGCCCCACCGTCCATCCAACTGCAGAAGTTAGAAATCTGGGCATCATCCTTGGTACTTAACTTTCTCCCAGCCCATGTCAAATATAGCTCCAAATCTTGTTGACTTAAACTCGGAAAGATCTCTTTACCCTGCGGTTTCTCTCTGTCCATCTCCACCTTCCATACCTAAGATGTCCTCATCTCTCACCTGGGATAACTATACTGTATTTCCACTTGGGCTCTTCTCTGACCCAGTCTCCACCAACCACCCTGAATGATACTTGTAAAACATAACCAATCTAATCATGTTACTGTCTTGCTTACAAGTCCTTCAGTGGTGCATTGTTCTTAGACCCACAATCTTAACATGGCCTACCGGATGCCCCCACAATCTCCTCTCCTCCTCTGCATTGCAGTCACATTTGTTGTGCTGGATATTGTCTTTTGACAGACAGCACCCATCCCCGTTCTATATGCCTTCCTATGCTACAGATGCTGGAAAGCTAAAACATCTCCCAACTCCCTTGCAGCTCGGGCTCTAGCACTTAGATGTATTTGCATAAAAGATGGAAGGGAGGCAGAAGTAAGCCAGATGGTTTGGGCTGTTTTTACTTGTAAACATGGTTGTGGAGACAGTAGTGCACAGTCCCTGGCTTTGTAGAGGCAGGGAAAGGACTTGGCATTTCATTGTCCTGCCAGTGGCATTGGCAGTGACTTTCTGATCCCAGGATCCTGTCTTTGGGTAGCAGCTTCACCACTGTGTCCTCATGCTCAGCCTTTCCAGTGGTGGCCTCCTGGCTTCTGTCTTTCTGACTGCGAGAGGTAGTAACTGCCTTGGCAGGTCAGTTCTATGGTGTTCTAGGAGTCATTCCTAATACCCAGCCTAGGGACCAGCATTTTCTTCAACAGCTAGAGTGGTTTCTGTTTCCAAATTCAGACTGATTCATTTAGTCTCTAGAACTGGTCATGCCTCCTCCCACTATAGGGTTGTTTTACTTGCTATCCTTTTGGCCTAGGTTAATACCCTTGCTATCCCTTAACCCTCAGCCCCATCTCTCAATTAACTCCTTATATGTCCTTTCCATCTCAGTTCAAACATTTTCTCTGGGAAGTTATCCCTGACCATTAAGACTGGATCAGCTTTCCTTGTTAAACAGGGATCTCACCCTTTATGTTTCTTTTAGTGCATCATCATCATCTATAATTATGTATTTGTGTGACTCTAGAATCTGAGCCCCAGGGACTTGATTATCCTGCTCAATGCTGTGTTCCATTGCTTAGAAAAGGCCCCTATAGAGTTGGTGCTCAACAGGCATGTGTTGAAAGAATGAATGGAAGGGAGGAGGCCAGAATGGAGGCTCTGAGGACAAAATCCACGTTTTTAAATATGGCTGGTAAGCCCTGTGACACCTCTTCTCAGCATTTTCTCCCAACCACATCTTCCCCTGCCTCTCAGCCAGTCCAAATGCACTGTGTGCTCTCTGGCCTCCAGGTCTCTACATCTACTATTTCTGCTGCTTGGGTGTCTCTTCGTTCTTAGCCTGTTCTTACTCATCTTGCAGGTTTCAGCAAGATGTTTTCTCTTCTAGGGAAACTTTTACTTCAGACAATTCTATACAGGACAAATGTTGGCCGGGCGCGGTGGCTCACGCCTGTAATCCCAGCACTTTCAGAGGCTGAGGCAGGTGGATCACCTGAGATCAGGAGTTTGAGACCAGCCTGGCTAACATGCTGAAACCCCATCTCTACTAAAAATACAAAGCTTAGCCAGGCGTGGTGGCACGTGCCTGTAGTCCCAGCTACTTGGGAGGCTGAGTCACAAGAATCGCTTGAATCCGGGAGGTAGAGATTGCAGTGAGCCAAGATCATGCCACTGCATTCCAGCCTGGGCAACAGAGTGAGACTCTGTCTCAAAAAAAAAAAAAAAAATTGTTAAATATATGATTGTAAACATTGCCTGCTGTTACTTATCTGTACCTTCCATTGCAAGTGCACTGTCTTGCTCAAGGCAGCCTATGGAGAGGGCCTTGCATGGGGCCCAGCTCTAATGCCCTCAGTATTTGTTGAAGTTGAATGATTCAGTGTCCTCTACTCAATCAGCCTCAGTCCGGGCATCTCTGCACACCTTCCAGAAGCCCAAACACAGTGAAGAATTGTAATTTGAGGGCTGCTTGATCAGGAAAGGAAGCTGGGGGAAGTTTGTTCAGCTCCAGTCCCTGGCTGTCCCTGGGCCACCAGGCAGGAGGCCTTGAAGCAGATCCTGTGGGGGATGGGCAGGGAAACAGTTTCTTCCTCTGCTCCCTCCTGGAGAGTGGGGGGATGGGGCCAGGAGAGGGAAGGTTCCTTCTAGGAGGCTCCCTGGCACAGTGCCTGCTTTGAGGAACGGGGTGGAGAGCATGGTGAATGCAGGCTTTCTCCTGGCCCCTGGCCTCCAGCTCTGTGAGACGGAGGGAAACTGCTGGCAAAGACGGGAAAGAGGGATGGAAGGGAGGGAAAGAGGAGAGTCTGCTTGCTTTGGGAGACAAGGAGAGGGGCTGAACTGGCTCTGAAAGACAGGATTCCCAAGAGCCTACCAGGTCCCAACTCCAGATCAGCTCTGGAAATATCCTCAAATCACTGAGTCTGAGAGTCAATATACTGGGAATGTTTAACTCTTAGGATCAGATCATCCTAACATCACCAGCTGGAAAATCCGTCAGAGGATTGTACCTGGGGTCTGCAGGGTACTGGACCCAAAGTCCAGAGAGCTTGACCCTATTCTGCCTGCAGACCCAGTCTCCGGGGGGGCTAACTTGGATAAGTCAGCTCCCTGGACCCCCCCTTTCTCTTTTTCAACAGCTGGAAGAAATGGCATTTTCCCAGAACCCAAGAATATTTTGCATCCCATCCACGACGCTTACAATAACAGAAAGACCAGGAAGCTGGCAAACCACTTCCCTCTTTCCCACAGGTCTGTAATCTCCCTGAGGGCGGGTTCAGCTCACATATCTTACACTCTGGTCTCAAACCTGGCTGCCCATCAGAATTGCTTGATGATTAACTAAAATGTTTCACTTCCTCTAACAGTGATTCTGATTTCTTGGAGCTGTGTTAGGACTTAAAACCTGTTTTAACAGTGTGCTAACTGATTGTGATGCAAAGGGACCGGCACAACGTAGTAGGTGCTAAGTGTTGCCTCCAGGGGTGGGAAATGAATTTAGCAGGGTAAACAAATGGAGTGTAGGGGAACTGGGATTGAAATATGGTCTGGATCTGGGTAACTGTGCATCTAACACTTGGAAAGGAAATAGTGCACCAGTGTTAGCAATACAAAAGATAAATATTTATTCAGAACAAATTTTTAACAAACAATTTTACATTCTAAGCCACAAGGAAATAGCAAAACATATAGCAAAGGAAAAGCAAACACTAAAAGAAAAGCAGTGTACTGTCTTTTCTACTTGATAACACTTAGTTGGCCCATGACCTCTCGCTTGGCCTATCTCCCAAGTACATTTTAGAGTTAACAGCTCACTCATAATTTTGGGTTAAAATCCATCTTTCTCCTGAGTCAGGAGTTGCAGATGAGCTCCAGCTAGCTGCTTCTCTAGGGTTCCTACTTATTGAGGCTAAGGTGCAAATGTAAACCTTTGGTAGGTTTCTTTACACAGGGTCACCCCCATTTCTCACTGGTGACAATGAATGGGGAAGGGGTAGGGCCTCCAAAGGACCTGGCACACTTTAATCTAGAAGTGGTGCCCCAGGGAGCAACGCATGCACCCTGGAGTGTGTTCCTTGGTCCTTTCCGTATCTCCCAAGTATTCAGAAAACCCCTCCTTAAAACCTTCTCTTTCTGCTCCCTCCTCCAGATGATTTCTCAGCATTCCTCTGGGCTCAACATTCTGGAGAGATCAGACTTTCTGGGCCCTCAAGTGTTGAGGAAATTGTTGTGAAGTGTGAGAGGTAGTGGAATGAGCACCGGGCTTGGGGTCAGGGGACTCTACTATAGGCTGGCTCTGGCACCAGACAGCTATGTGATTTTCACCCAGTCATTTAACCTCTTTGGGCCTGTTTCATCTGCTGGAAAACCAGGGAATTGGTCTAAAGCAACTCTCAGGTTCTTTCCGGCAGGAATATTCTAGATTCCATGATTCTATGAAAAATGGCTTCTGAGCCACCAAAAGAGCTGTCATGAAGTCCATGCATTTTTGTGCCATAAAGAGAGGCCCTTGGCCACCATTCAGAGCTTATTGATTCAGATTATATACACTTCTAACAACACTGGTTTCACAAATTCTGACCACGTAGATTAAAAGCAGCAAATTAAATGAGGGAGGGGAAGAGCTGCAAAAGGTAGACACTCTGATAGAAGCCACGGTCAACAATGTTTTCAATTAAGCAAACACTGATGGAGTGCCTACCACGTGTTGGGCCCCGTACCTAGTGCTGGGGCATAAAGATGAGCAAGGCAGCCCAAAGGGTGAAAATCCAGGGGAAGACAAGGTATGGGGCGGGGAGGGCAGGGAGAGAGAGAAAAAGTACAAGAAACAAAACAAAAACCCAATAGAAAAACGAAAATAAAATTTAAAAAAGGGAGGGGCAACACATCTGCACGCTACAGTTCTCCGCAGTCGTTATTGGTGACAGAGTCACCAATTCAGAACAGGCTGAAATGGAGTAAACTCGGTTTAAGAAGGCATAGAGAGATGTCTCTTGTAGGTTTTAAAAAGATCTCCTTCAAAAACGATAAAAAATGGTTTAAAAAAAAGTTTTGGCACTTAAGAGGGGTAAGCTGGCTGTGTGTTCACCCTGGCAGGCAGGCGGGTGTTTAGTGCCCGGCCACGCCGGTTAGCTGAGCTGCCACGGAATTGTGAACTGCTTTGGGACACTGGGCAAAGGCGTGTCCTCGCTTGCCACAGAGGTTGCACACGATGCCCTTCCGGCAGTAAGGGCTCAGGTGCCCCTCCTCCCCGCACCTGAAGCACCTGTCCTGCGTGCAGCTGCCGCTCATGTGGGTCCGGGAACCACATTTAAAGCATGTCTTGGGCTGCCCCTTGTACCAGCTGTAGCCCCTCTCGGCCCCCAGGAAGAAGGCCCCTGGCAAGTGCCTGACCCCGCCCTCCCCCTGGCGCAGCTCGATCTCGCACTTGTACTCCCCGGTCCAGATCCCAAACCTGTCGGTCACTTTCACCGGCACGGCCAGCACGTCGCAGTGGCGCTTGAGCCAGGTCACAATGTCCTCCACGTCCACCGTCTCATTCCGGAAGAGGATGAAGAGCGTCTTCAAGCTGGACTTGCTCCGCCCCAGCACCACAAAGTTCTCCCAGCAGTCCTCCTGCTCCCGCTTCTCCTCGTAGACGCGCAGGAACAGGGCCAGCTTCTCCGCCGAGCGGAAGCTCACGTCGAATTCGCGGCTGCCGGGGATCTGGATGACCGCGTAGATGTCGCTCGGGTCCATGCCGATGGAGCGCAGGATAAGCGCTCCTACCACGAAGTCCCGGGTCGGGCAGGAGCCCTCGTCTCCCTGGAAACAGATGCGGACAAGGAAGCGACCCTTGCCCGGGCCCGCCCCCGCCGGCTCGTCCTGGAGGGGCCTTTCGGCCGCGTCCTCGGCCTCGCCGGGCCTGGCCGGGGTCGCCATGGCTGCCGCTGCCACCTCGGCCTTCTTTCTCCTGCCCGCCTCGGCAGCGCCCTTCTTCTTGCGGGGGTCCGCCGCCTCGCCGGCAGGATCTCTCCGGCGGCCCTTCGGGTCCCCGCGGCCAGCAGGTGGGAAGTCGCCGAGGTCTGGCGCCGCTAGGCCCGCGGGGCCGCCGACCCCGGCGCTCCCGCCACCGCCGCCGCTTTCCTCCTCCCGCCGCGGTAGCCGCGGCTCGCGGAATTCGCCCTTCTTCTCGGCTAGATTCTTTACCACCTGGGCCCAGCCCATCTTCTCGCGGCCGCCGTCGGCCTCCTCGCCCCGGGCCGCGGGCCGCGCGGGGGGCAGAAGCTGCGGCCGCCCCCGTTTCCTCTCTTCCTCCGCGCCGCCGCCGGTGGCCATTTTACCTCCTTCCCAGCATCCTCCACTCGCTCCCGCAGCCAAAGGGCGCCCATCGCGCGCGCCCGCCCGCCGGGGCTGTGGGGGTTTGGGTTTTTTTTTTTTTTTTTTTGAAATTTGACGCTACCCTCCCCCGCCGCTCCCTCAAAGGTATTCACATGCGGCGCATATTGGCCAGCGTCGGCTCTGCACCCACTGGTAACTGCTGAGCCTCTCTTCCGCCAGCGCTCGCTCCAACCTCACCTCCGTCCGCAGAGGGATGGGGCGCCCGGAGGCGTCCCTTTCCCCAGCGCGGGTTTGGCAGCCTCCGGCCTCGCTCTCGAGGATTTGGCATTTCGCAAGCGGTGCTCGATGATTTCATGCAAGCAGCTTTGCTAACGGCCCACAGCCCACAGGCGGGACGAATTCAGAAACATCTCCCCCATTTTGTTGTTTTCTTTGTACTTTTTCTGTTAAAAAAGCAAAAACAATAGCAAAATTAAAACTTAGCTTTCCTTTTCCCCAGAACTAACTGCAATGCATTATTTTTTTCCCACGTCGGATTATGCACATTTTCAAGCAGAAAAGTTGAAAGTTTTACAGTGAACATTTTACCATTAACTTTTTATCATTAAAATTTTACTCTGTTTTATCACACTACACCTCGATCCATTCATCGGTCTTTATTTTTTGATACATTTCCAAGTAAGTCATAATGCATTATTTTTACTTTTTTGAAAAGACCTCCGTCGTAGTTAGGATGAAGTATGAGTGCTTCTTACGTTCCCGGTACTGTGTTAAGCACACTTCAGACTTTATTACATGGAATCTTCCAAAAACGATGCCGTAATTATGCCCATTTTACAGATAAGGAGGCAGGAATTAAGTCACTTGGCGGAGTTAATAGGCAGCCCCACGTATAGGTAGCTTATATTTCTTTAACCACTATTTCTGACGCTGTGGATCAAGGACTGTGCATCAGACTCTAGGAAACCTTGTCAACAGGCAGATTCCCTTCACCCCAACTCCTGGTATTGGTCTCAGGGGAGCCACCATCCCTGACTCTTGTGCTGTTTGCACTTTCCAGTCCTTTCACTTTATATCCTCAGACACCCTTTCCTTCATCCCTTCTCAGCTACGCATTCCCATGATCATACTCGGAACTTCACTATTACCAGAAACATCCAAGTCTTAGAGATTCACATATTTCTCTGTTACTCTTTCAATTTGCCTGGTCAAGTTTCACCATGAGGAGAATACTTACACAACCAAACAATATATGTATTTTAAACAATCTCTTCCATTCCTCTTACCTTAAGCCCTCATTCCAGGTAACCATCACATAATCAAATATCTGCAAGGGTCAGGCAGGTACCTTAAGTAGAAGATATACTGGGTGAACTGGAGATCGAAGATTCTATCTGAAGGGGCAACTGCTGGTCAACTCTAGCTGATTATTCCTCTCCAGAAGTGAGGGTCCACTGTGGGCAGATCTTTCAGTTTCCAAAGAGAAATCTGAACTCCAGTTTGTTCTTTTTTGTTTGTTTGTTTTTTGGTTTTTTTTTTGAGACGGAGTCTCGCTCTGTCGCCCAGGCTGGAGTGCAGTGGCGCGATCTCGGCTCACTGCAAGCTCCGCCTCCTGGGTTTACGCCATTCTCCTGCCTCAGCCTCCTGAGTAGCTGGGACTACAGGCGCCCGCCACCGCGCCCGGCTAATTTTTTGTATTTTTAGTAGAGACGGGGTTTCACCGTGGTCTCGATCTCCTGACCTTGTGATCCGCCCGCCTCGGCCTCCCAAAGTGCTGGGATTACAGGCGTGAGCCACCGCGCCCGGCCCAGTTTATTCTTTTATGGGAAACATTCTTCTCTCTTGTCTTCTTTAAGATGGTCTCAGCTATATTTGGAACCTCCATATAAATTTTACAACCTGCCTACTAAGTTCCAGAAAACTATGAGATCTTAATTGGAGCTGCATTGCGTTTGTACAGAATTGTCACTTCATAACACTGCATCTTTCCGTGAATGACCCCACTTGATTTCTCACTTATTTACGTCTTATTTTATGCATTTAA